AGCTATCACCAACAACAACCACTGTCAGCCTCGAGCTATCACCAACAACAACCACAGCCAGCCTCGAGCTATCACCAACAACAACCACTGTCAGCCTCAAGCTATCACCAACAACAACCACTGTCAGCCTCGAGCTATCACCAACAACAACCACTGTCAGCCTCAAGCTATCAACAGCCACAGCCAGCCTCGAGCTATCACCAACAACAACCACAGCCAGCCTCGAGCTATCGCCAACAACAACCAATGTCAGCCTTGAGCTATTACCAACCACAACCACAGCCAGCCTCGAGCTATCACCAACAACAACCACAACCACAACCCCAGCCAGCTTCGAGCTATCGCCAAAAACAACCACAACCACAGCCAGCCTTGAGCTATCATCAACTACAACCACTGTCAGCCTCGAGCTATCACCAACAACAACCACAACCACAGCCAGCCTCCAGCTATCGACAACTACAACCACAGCAAGCCTCGAGCTATCACCAACTACATTCACAGCAAGCCTATCAACAGCAAACTCCACAGGGATGGCAATGGCATTCTGGTATGTCTCCACACCCGTATACACTTTGCAAACTTCCTTCCGCAGCAAAGAAATGTTACGGGTGTGGCGACGAATTTGCGACAAAATACAGAGAAGCCCCCAATGACATTGTGGTTAAAGGGCTACTTGGACGAAAATTGCGAAACATTAGAAAAGACTTGGAAATCAAATAGACCTATCCATATGGGTGTAATAATCATGAAGCAACAGATTTCAAGAAAATATTCATGCAAATCCTTAATAATTTGGGCAAAAAATGTTGGAGTAGATGACGTCATCTACTCAATCCTTTTGTTCTTCCATCTTTTGAATCAAAATTTCTCTGATGTGGGATAATGCCAAGACAAATATTTTCCCGCAATTGTTTTTAATAGATATAAATGAGTCATATATTTGTATTGCTTGAAGTTTTGAAATAAGGCCATTTTCATGCAAGTAGCACTTTAAACACGTCGACAGGCGTATTAGGAGGCGGGACGACCAAACTGGAAATCTGGTTTACGCGCCAGATTTCACAAACTGCTACTATCACCCTATCAGTAGCCATATGCGGAAAAAAATCCATTATTTGGTCGGGTGCAGATGGAGTTCACCACGTACAACGCCCTTTCACATGGGCAGCAAATGAGCATTGCCTCATTTGATTTTGATGTTGATTTTGTATAGCTAGCTGTTTTATTCAATTCAACATGTTTGAAAGTTAATAATATTATTATTATATTATTTACAGTGGCGTGCCTGCTTTCCTCTAACGGCTTCATTGCTAACATTTGTTTATTATATATCGTTCGTGTTTCCATTGGCTTGACAGCATGCGTTCATTAGACAATAATAATAATATAGACATATGTATAACTTTGCTTAATAGTTATTGGTTAATAAACTATCCCTATGAGTGTTTATTCTTTTTTCCAATGTTTTTAAATATTTTTTTTTCATTTTAATGTTCTTTTATATGACTCGTGTTCAGTCGTGGTCGCTCATTTGTGACTCACGGTCCCCCAAGGTCCCTCCCCTAAATCCGCCACTGAACGTCACTGAACCGAATCGATCAAACGAATAAACAAACAAACGAAACAAAAATGATTGATTGATGTACCAGCAAGTAATACTTATACAAGATATAGAGTAATTTCCGTAAGAAATGCTATTATATATTATTGGACGGTTCAACTAGGTGTAACTTGATCATAATTACTTTATTTTTCGCTATTATTGTTATTTTTTTTACTCGTGGTCATTCGTGGTCGCTCATTTGTGACTCGTGGTCACTCGNCTATAAAACAAAACAAAAACGGTATTCTAGCTCAGTGATGCCACAACGTGACCGTCTGAGTCTGATTTCCCGGATAGCCTAAATTTCTGTCTCTTCTGGATTAAAGAAAACATTGGTATTCAAGCTGCAGTATTCCTAAATGAAGGTTGAAGCGGCCATGGTTTTCAGAGGTCAAAGATGTAGCCGTGTTGACATCGCTGGCACAAGCTGGCGCGACGCCAACTATGCCGGCTTTGCAAACTGTCTGATTCTTGAACTTTTTAAAATTACTACAATTAGAATCAGTCTATTCATATTTTTACTTTGTTTCATAGCGCAAGTATGAAAAAGGAAAGACTATCAGAGTGAACGGTTTAATAGACCTTTTAGTCACGTTTGCATTATTGCCGTGTGCGTGATGTTTATAGTGTTTACACTTTTAAAGATTTCTCAAAAATTATTGTATATCTAGAGAGCTAATCCCGTTTCGTTTCGTTGAATACAGATTCCCGTTTCGTTTCGTTTCGTTGAATACAGATTCCCGTTTCGTTTCTTTTCGTTTCGTTTCGTTGATTATAGTAAGCCGTAGCGAGCGAATATATTTTTTGAATTGTAGACGAACGTGGATAAATAAAACACACGTAAAATGATTTTCGAGACAAATTTAATGTCGGATCGGCGAGTCTTCCTCATGCTTCCTTTGTGACTGAACAATACAACGAATCAAATTAGATTTACTTTACAAATAGAATTTTAAGTAAACGATATTTGAATGCAGATTTTTTCGTTAAAATGTTATAGTTTTAACTTCGAATTCTAGACAAGCACGGGCGAGTGCCCATCACTTAAAAGACAAGTCTACCCGGTATCGTGTAACATTAGCACGCGTGGCCTAATCGGTAGTGCCTTTGATATCCAATCCAGTAGGCCCGGGTTCAGATCCCAGATGACCCATTTCTTTGATTTATTTATTTGCCAAAAAATAAATCAATTCAATTAGATATAGCACAGGGAAACCAGTAAAGAAAAATTAAATATGATAGATAATAATTAGTAGAATACATTAATATGATTAAATGAATAACTGCTGACAAAGACATCGCAGGCTCGAATTTACAGGAAAGTGATCGAGCGAGCGAGCGAGTGACAGCTTGTGCCCTCCCAACAACTCTACGATTGCTACGCAATTTAACTCTCCGAGTTAAAAATGTGAATTTCGTTATTTACGTAGATTAATTTCGAACTTCGTTTATTGGATATTCGTTTATAGAGATGAAGAACTTATTAGTAAGCATTTTACTTGTGACCCCGATGCGAGAGGGATGAAATTTTAGATGATGACACAGCTTGCATCAAGCTTTGGACGATTCAAAATGATCACGTGGTACAAAATCCATCGATCCCATTGGCAGAGAGGTGGTCAACGCCCACTTAGGGCCTACCCTGGGGGTTTTTATGTTTAGTGGTTAAGTTAGAGAATCGCGTAGGAATGGTGAATACCAGTGTAATATTCAAGGTGGCGGTTAGTCGTAACTGTTACTATAAACATGAAAAGAAATGGACTCAGCAGACCATAAATTCATGTTTATTCATCACAAGCTTATTTGACTAGCAATAAAAAACTCAAGTAAGTAAATCTAGCGTGTTATTTTGTCCATGAACAAGAATTTCTCACGACTCAAAACATGGTGTCTCGTAAAGCCCGTGGTTCGAGTAGTCCGGGTTCAAACATCGATTATTGAAACAATGTTGATTATTGTAAGCTTATGTAGACTACTTTTTGCCGAGAAGCTTTCAGTTTACTTTTAACCAATTGACCTTTATATATTATAATATTAAACTTCATCCAACGGAACATAATCTACCGAAGTCAATATTAGTACGAACTAAATTCTCACAAACATACTCTTTATAATATTTGTTCGCATGTCAACAAAACTGTTGTAGCTCACATTCCTTAGAACAGAGCAGTACTAGATAATCATTTTCAGCTTCTATATTGCTATTGGAGCTCCGCTATTAGGTGTTACCTAATTTTTATATTAGACTAAAAATGTGTCAATAACAGCGCATGCTAAATTTGTGAAAGTGGAAAATCGCAATAGCCCTTTTCCTGGTTATAGAAAACACGTTGCACGATGGGCCTGTAGTTTTGTACGCAAGCGAGGCTGGGCCCCGGGAATGCTACTATCAGTGCATAGAGCCCGCCGCGAATGCTACTATCAGTGCATAGAGCCCGCCGCGAATGCTACTATCAGTGCATAGAGCCCGCCGCGAATGCTACTATCAGTGCATACTGCCCCCCGCGAATGCTGATATCAGTGCATAGTGCCCGCCGAGAGTGCTACTATCAGTGCAAAGAGCCCACCGCGAATGCTATGAGTGCATAGAGCCCACCGCGAATGCTGCTATGAGTGCATAGAGCCCCCGCGAATGCTACTATGAGTGCATAGAGCCCGCCACGAATGCTACTATCAGTGCATAGTGCCCGCCGCGAATGCTGCTATGAGTGCATAGTGCCCGCCGAGAATGCTACTATCAGTGCATAGAGCCCGCCGCGAATGCTACTATCAGTGCATACAGCCCGCCGCGAATGCTGCTATCATTGTATACAGCCCGCCGCGAATGCTACTATGAGTGCATAGAGCCCGTCGCGAATGCTACTATCAGTGCATAGAGCCCACCGCGAATGCTACTATCAGTGCATAGAGCCCGCTGGGAATGCTACTATTAGTGCATGGTGCCCGCCAAGAATGCTACGAACAGTGCGTAGTGGCCGCCGCGAATGCTACTATCAGCGCATAAAGCCCGCCGCGAATGCTGCTGTCAGTGCATAGTGCCCGCCGCAAATGATACTATCAGTGCATAGTGCCCGCCGTGAATGCTACTATCAGTGCATAGTGCCCGCCGCGAATGCTACTCTCAGTGCATAGTGCCCGCCGTGAATGCTACTATCAGTGCATGGTGCCCGCCGCGAATGCTGCTATCAGTGCATACAGTCCGCCGAGAATGCTGCTATCAGTGCATAGAGCCCGCCGCGAATACTACTATCAGTGCATAGTGCCCGCCGCGAATGCTGCTATCAGTGCATTTCAGAATAACTTGCAACCCAACACTGCAATGTGTGTAATTACTTACACTGCGAATTCGAAAAGAGCACCAGGAAACTAAGGAGGGTGTACACGCGAAATACTTGAATAGAGCACGATGCGGGATGTTTGGAGGGAACTTTAAGTGATATTTAAAAAAACGAGTAGGAGTGTTTTATCGTGAGTTACAACACTGATGTTTTATGCATGAGTGTTATAACTAACTGAACCGGTTAGTTATAAAGCTCATGTTTAGTTAATCAGTGTTTATAACTTGAGTTATAGATCCTGTCATGTGACCCGTAGTTGAATGGTCATTGGAAGAATGTCTAATGAATAATTCATGAGTTTTAGAAATGGTCATTAGAACTTAAAAACAAAAGAGTTCCTCAAACTTATGCATTTGGAAGATATTAGTTTAGCCTATAGACTACATTGCACARGTCGGGTTGAAGAAAAAGAGTCTATGCTTGGACATGGCSAATATTCCCTTTCCCGGTTAAAACCAAAGCGAGTGATAATTTTATKATGTACTGTACTCTTTTCAATCACGTAAGTCTTAGCTRTTCATCCTTCCAACATGGGACAWGAAGGCTAGACGTATAACACAGATACTACGATAACAGCTTTGAAGTTCTTAGGAGACAAAGTCAATCAGGACATTCCGTAGTGACCATCGTCAAGCTCCCAGTCATTGCATAAAGTAAATCACCATATTTGGAAGAACTTTTAACACGCATGACATACGTCACGCAGGAAATTCCGTAAAGACCACGTCACGCACGAAGTGTCMACAGTCATGCAGTACACTACAGTCGAATGATGGGAAAAGCACGATGACATGAGAACTCAAACATCGGCACGTTCTGGAAAAAATTAATCAAAGWAATAATTCTCAGCATAATAATTATCAACATAATATTATTATGAGATATCATTATGAATGTAGTGTTTTCCAGTTCAAATCAATGGGACTAACGTTAAGCAAAGGGCTATTTTATACAACACTGTTTCTTCAGGTGTTTCGATCGTAATGAATAGCGTTTCGCGCGTATGTTTAAACTRCAACTACGTCGCAAATTTCGATTCAATTGCACTCAAAATTTCACAGATGTATTAGTGATTGCCGATAATTCCTACTGATAAATTAATTTTCCAAAAAAATCGAAGCTATTTGGATAATCGATGCAAAATAAAAACAAAACACCTTCATGTATAGTTCAGTTAGTTATAACACTCATGCATAAAACATCAGTGTTGTAACTGATTTACAGATGGA